CCTGCATCCCTCCCCTCTGCTCAGCCCACCTCGCTGAACTCCATGTGCCAGCTCTGCAGCTACACCACCGTGTATCCTGCAGACACACCCTCAGTCCCTCAGCAGCTCACACTGGATCCCTTGTAACCCCCAGGTGCTCTGGCCCCTCTTCCTTGACACACTGCTCAGGGCAGAGTGTGCAGCGTCCCTAACCACTGGGGTTGCTCCCACTTCTACCGCTGCCTGACACCTACCTCACGAGCACTCAGACCTGGGCCAGAACACCTGTGGACATCATCCATCTCCCAGTCTTCACTGCTGTCCTGCCTCCACACGTCTTCCAGTCTGACACCCAGCCCCTGGCAGGGCCTTCGGTGACATCTTGTGCTCTATTACCTCAAGTTCCCTGAGTGAGGCTCCTCCTCTCTTCCTCAGAGCATGCTGGACAGCCTGGAGTTGGAGCCCACCTACAACCCCTTGCAGGTGTGGAGCCACCTGTACTCACACCTGAGCAGCACCTTTGCCAAGCCTCAAGGGCGGCCCCACCCAAACTGGGAGAGCCGGGCCAGGAGAAAGGTACGTGGTCCTCCTTACTTCCTCCCTTCCCCTTTATTCCCAGAGTCGGGAGAGCCCCTCCTCCCTGTCCTCTACACCGCCCCACCCACAGGAGTAGCCCTCCTCCCGGACCCCACCTCAGTGAAGGAGAGAACCAGCCGAACCTAGGAGGAAGAAGACAAAGGGAATTACCAGTCCTCCTGGGTAGGGGGTTATCTGCTTAAGCGTGTAACTGTAGTGCTTCTAACTCATTAGTCACTTAACAGACCTTGTTCCGTTAAGCAAACTGGCCACACTGAAACTACAACCACAGCCTTCTCCTTGAAAGAACAGGCTAAAGGGAAAGAAAGTGGGAAAAGAAATGCCCACAGGGAGGGAAATGAACGTGTACAGAACAGTCACTTGCCAGGTTTTATGACCAGCGCTTCCGCACGTTTTCCTCAATCCTCAAACTATCCCCGCAAAGTCAGTTACGCCATTTTACAGACGAGGAGAGGAGGCTGGCCAAGTTTAGTAGCTTAGAGGTAGGACTTAGGTGACAAGGATTAAAGAGAAAGAAACGATCAAAGGTGAAGATATATTTTTATGAAATCTGCGTTCTATAATATATGGACTTCTCCTGTACTTAACTAATTTTCTTCTAGTTTCTTAGTAACAGAGTCGTTAGAAAAACTCCCATTTCAGGACCAGCAGATGGTATATCGGCTACGTTGCTGTACTCCCACATAGTTGATCACATTTCGAGTCCCAAACCCAGTGACTTAAACTCACACCGCGTGCATGTGTGTGTGTGCCCAGGATCCCAAGAGGAGAATGGCGAAGGGAATGTCACATGGCCATCCCCCCTGGAGAGTGATTTCTCACTTTCTGTCTCTGTCTCTGTCTTTCTGGCAAGCACACGTGCCCTATAGCAAAAACCTCTCCAAAAAGAAAAACTCCCATTCCAGCTCAGCTAAAATTACAAAGATGTTTCCAAACTAGAGGAGCAGAACCCACCAAAAGTCAACTGATGAGCAAGCTGACAGAGGGACACGAGGCAAGGAGGCTGGAGCCCAGAAGACTCCACAGATCACTGCCCTGGGTCTTGAGAGTGTCACTCTGGGATGCGACAGGGAAGGAGTTAGGACAGAAGTCCAGCATGAACAGGATAGGAACTCGGGTCTCCAGAAAAGGCTCTGATTGCTCTTTTTTGCAGGCTGGGCAGTTGCAGACTCACCGAGTTCGAGCCACAGTGGCCCCCTTGCCTATGACTTCAGTGCCAGGCAAAACCCACAAGATGCCAGCAGCCAGCAAAACTTCCTTGGAAGACCTCTTCCTGCCTTCTGAGCAGCAGGAGAACAAGTAGTCCTTGGGGCCCTAAGTCCCCAGTGGCAGAGCCCAACTGCCCTGCTAACCTGTTCCATGCTAAGACTCACACAATCAGTGGTCAGACCTGCCTTCTATCCATCTGAGCCTCTGTGGGCTGCAGGTGACTGGGAGACAGAGCCTTCCTCTCCTGTTGTCAGTGCTGCCACTGCACCACCCTCAGGCCAGCAGAGCCTGCCTTGCTCCAGCGAGGACTCTCTTTTTCTTTTGAATCATTTGATAATGCTATTACAGATGCAGATTAAACACCCAGAAAGCCTCTGCCATTGTTAGGAGCATTCCCTGCCCAGAATTTCTCTCTCTGTGTATGAACAGGTGGATGAGGTCAGGTCACCCTTGGGAAAGTAGGCCTCAGGAACAAGGGTCAGCTTTTCAGAGCTCAAGAAAAACAAGTAGGATTGAAATCCAAGCCTCATTGTGCAGCTGGTGCCCTCCGCAGTACACACACCACATGGCAGGGTCCTTCAGCCTCCAAAAGACAAAGGCTTGGTGCTTGGAACCTACATGCAAAGTGTGTAGCTGGGTGGGGAGTTGTGCTATCATATAGTCGAAAACAGAGAAGCCGGTGTGAAAAAGACGATTCCCTTCCTCTTCTCCTCTCCCTACACCCACCCACTTTCCCATCAGCTCTGTCCATCCACAGAATAATGCCTACCATTTATAAAACACTTACTCTGGGGCTAGCAGGTAGTGTGGTGGTTGAGGTGCTGGATTCCCACCTGGCTGACCGTGGTGCAGGTCCCAAATGTGGTGACTGGCTTTCTCACTTTCCCTCTCTCTCTTTCTCTCTCTCTCTCTCTGGCCAAATTAAAAAATAAATAAATACATACATAGATTTTTTTTTTATTTTAAAAAGATGGCTTGACTTTTAAAAAATAAAAAATAAGAAACATTTACTCTGTGCTTTAAATTATACTAAGTACTTGAGACATTTGCCTCATTTCATGGTAACAATGCTGTAAGGAAGAGCTCATTATCGGTTTCCCCGTTCTACATGGGAAAACAGGGTTACAGATGTGACACAACCAGGCAGGGTCACAGATCTAGAGTCCGGCCCAGGTCAGCCTGACTCGACTACCACGCTGGTCAGCTGCCTATCCTGGGCCCCTCTTCTTCTGCAGCCCCCAAAATATTCCTGATTCTCATCTTGATCCCCTCCACACCCACCCAGCACACCCTGCCACTGTCTGACCTCTGCGTCTATTCACACACAGAGACCTCTTAAATCCAAGCTCACTTTAATAGAATTAATTTTTTTTAAATATATTTTTGGCAAAGAACAGCGCAGGGGGTAAGATCCGGGCAGAGTCCAACATCTCTTACAGAACTGCACTCAAACAGCACTCACTGACCAAGTACCACATGTCTTTCCATGAATCGGGTCCAACAGTTCCCTGTTCCTTTGAAGAAGGGATAAGGACCAGCAGTTGACATAATGGCTATGTTGCTGGACTCCCATGTAGTCGGCTGCAGTTCAAGTCCCAGGCCTGGTGGCTTAAACTCACGACAGACACGTGTGCGTGTGTGCCCAAGATCCCAAGAAGAGAATGTAGAAGGGATAGTTTGGGGTACCCACTATTCACTAGAGCCCCTCCCTCAGCCCTGCCGTCTGTTCCACTTCTAGGACTTCCCAGAATCCTTCCCTGGACTCCCCTGATCCCCGCTAGTCCCCTCTTCTCACACAGCCCCTCCCACCCTCTGGTTCCCATTGGTTCTAACAGGTTTCTTTGATCCAGTGCCACTCCCCATGGTCCTCCTTCTAGCACCCCGACCTTGCCTGATATCTCAGGTGGAGCCCTCAGACTTGACCCCAGTCCTGTCAGTCTCTACTTTAGAGAGCCCACAGTCCCAGCTCCCTAAAGGCCCACTCTTTTGGACTTGGCTGTACAGGGCAGTGGCTGAGCTCTGGCCTCTGCTGCCACTGCCGGCAGGAGTACCAGGTGCAGGAAAGGCCGGGCCCTGGGGCTTGGGAGCTGGGGGAGGCTTCGTGCTCCGAGGAGGGGGCACAGCATAGTCATCAGTAGCAGGGTTGTAGGGGAGCTCGTAGCCCTCTTCCTTCACTCGAGCCTGGCACCACCATGCATCCTTAGGCTCCTGGGGCAGATCATAAAGGCCCCGGGTAGGGGTTGGGGCCAGGCCCTCAGGTTCGTCATAGATGGGATCCTCTTTGGGGTCTGTCAGCTTGGCCTTCAGCAACTGCTGTTGCGCTTGCTCATACGTGTCCCAGTAGAGAGGTTTCTTCCGCTGTACCTTACGCCCTGCAGGAGCAGAGGTGCTGTCCAGGGGGTCAGAGTACAGTGAGTCCAAGGAAGGGCCCGGAGGAATGCGCAGAGAGTCTAAGGGCTCAGCATACAGGGCTGGGGGGCTAACCAGGACCTCCTGGGGGCCAGAAGGGGTAGCCAACTTCCCCTCTGCCACCTCCCCTTCGTGGGAGTCAGCTCTAAGGACGTCATGCCCCTGTCCAGCCTGTGCTTTTTGCCGGCGAATAGCAGTCTCAACTGCCTGAAAGATGTCATTTCCCTCTGCCGTCTGGAAGGTGAAGGTGCCAGGGCCCGAGGAACAGCGGCGACCGGCCTCAAAAGAGAACATGACCTGAGGAGGGCATGGAGGAAACACATTACCGGGAGCACCATGGAAGGTGAGTAGTTGGGCCTGAACTAGTTAAGGCATCTGCAAAGAAGCCGGGGGATGGAGGAGGCAGGGAGGGGGAAGGCAGGGAGGGGGGAGGCAAAGGACAGAGCTCCCCACCTTCCTGTCTTGCCCTCTCCCACCACAGCTGCCCTACCTAGGAAGCCCTCCCTGACAGCCCCTGCACCTTGTCTCGGCCATAGCGGCGCAGCAGGGTGTAGGGCCAGGAAAACAGTGGCTCCAGGAGCTGACTCTGGGTGGCCACTGTCAGGAGAGTCAGCCTCTCAGCCTCCACTCTCAGCACATAGGAGCCATGCAAGTCACAACGCTCGGCGGCCTCGGTCCTCTGCACCGTTACCCAGAACTGGGACCCTGGAAAGAACACAATTAGATGAGCATCTGGGTGGGAGTGGGGTGGGGGTGAGGAGGCTGGGAACAGGGGTGGGACCGGAGGACCAGCAGAAGAGTATCCCAGCACTCACCTAGAAGTCAGATTGCAGGGGCTTCCTACTTACCCCAGGGGTCCCTGGACCCTTAATCACCCACTTCCCACTCCTTCCCACTGCATCCCTGCTCAGGCTTCTCCGTGTCTACCTTCCCACGTGGGGCTGTACAGTGAGTTCTCCAGCATCTCCAGGGCAGAAAGCTTAGGTGAGTTGTCAGCAGGAGCCGGAGACCAGCTGCCTTTCTGCAGTAAAGAGAGACCACTGAGGACACTAACTCAACGTGTGCTCCTGGGTCTGGGCCAGCCCAACTCCTCTGCCCCCAGCCCGCAACGCCCTTGGGCCCCAGTGCGGCTCACCCCAGGCCCTCGCAGGCAACCCTGGCCCCTCACCGGAAAGGCATTTTGGCACAGCATCTGCACCCAGGCTGCGCTGGACGGAGCATCGGCCGCCAGCAGGTGTGAGCCCTGTGCAGTGTCCAGGCGGAAAGCAGCCGCGCCGGGTTCTGGGGGGCTCTCCACGGCCACAGGAGCCACGCTCACACACTCAGCCAGACGGATCACCTTGCAGTCCAGGCGGCGCGAGCCCCCTCGGCCACCTCCGGAGCTCGATCCCTTGTGGTCGAAGAACTCGAGCCGCGCCACGCCATGGGGACTGGCCGGATAAAGCGCGGCCCAGGTCTTCCTCCACCTCTAAGAGAGGGCGAGAGACGCTGGGGAAGGGGCGGACGCGCGGGGGAGTCCGGGCCCCGACGGTGAAGGAGGGACATGCGCAGGCAGATTTGGGGTCCCAGGCTGACCGATGCGGCTGGGGGTGAAACTACCCAAGGAGGATGCCGCTCGGTCTCCCCAGGACCTGGAAGGGCCACCCCAAGACTGCAGATACTTCTCCAGCGGGAAGCGTGCAGAGCGACTTCGTGGCTGTCACGGGGTTCTGCCGCTGCCCCCCCTTCCCTCTTTCTGGGCCTTTACACTCACTTCTAGCCCAATTAGGGTCCGCATTACCGATGCCCAACTACCTTGGTACCGAAGCGCTGACTTTGCAAAAACAGAGGCCCTTCCATCACAGCCCCGTCCATGGCCCCCGGCGGCTCCTTCCGCGCTTCCTGGGCCGGAGGGCGGGAGGCGGAGCTGGGGGTGGGGCCGGACCCGCCAGAGGCGTTCCCACCCCTCCCCTGCCCCATGCGGGCTGCGACCTGGGCCCGGACCCGGAGAGAAGGAAGGAGGGGTGGTCTTCAGATACGCTAGGCGGAGCGCCACCTCCAGGCTCCTACCCACTGCTCTGGAGCATGCACAAGTGGATATACCGAGAGAAACTTCCTAAGTTTCAGCCACAGAGCCCTGGCCCCTGGGCGTGGGGAAGTTCATGTGACGTCATGTACCCAAAGTGACATCAGAGTTAAGACCGCGACGTCACTCCGAAAGTGCCCGCGGGCACGCTGGGGCATCGGAGAGGTCAAGCGGGTCTTCAGGGCTTGGGTTCTTCTGGCCGGACCCGCCCCTAGTCTGGCCGGCCAGAGCTGGGCTGTTTGCACTCGTTGGAGCCAGGGATGTGGAGAAAAGGCTGGCGGCTGGGGACTGAACGGCTTCCCGCGGTCACAGGGGCTGCCCGC